TTTTGGAAGCACTAAAGCCTAAATTTGAACAATGTAGCTTGGAGACATAGGTGGGGCTCTAGCTAATAAGAACCAGGCGAGGAGTGTTTTGGATGACTCCTGCACACAAAGATATTAATATGACTAGCAACAAGGAAACACAACTGATAAATCCTCAACAAATTTCAGCATTCTTTTGGATTGATTTTGTTATGCTAATGGTTACAAGAAAAGTTTGCAAATGTCATTTCATGCACGAAGTTTGCTCGTTGATAAATTCCTTTTTTCAACCATCATTTCATCATTCCTTGCACGAATTTCTTTATGTTTACATTAATAACATTGTAGGTGATTATACATCTGTGCAATGAAAAAATAAATGAGCACAAGATCTTAGCTGATATATGATCTTTTAATCTTAGAGTCCTCTTATACGATTCTTTAATGATTTGAGGTAATTATTTATTTTCATTTTACTGGCCAATAGGCTATGAGTACTGCCAGAAAAGTTTTTGCACAATGAATCAATGGAAAATATTTTAGTTGGAGACAAGAAAGATCACAGGCTATGTCTGGTCATATTAATTAAGACTTAGATATATGGTACAGCGTTAGATTAATGATGATTGACTAGAAAATGACACCACCAAGAGCCATAGTGGAGATTCTAGAGGGTATACGTGTTTTGCGCACTTTCTGTTGTCTCTTGCGTGACCTATTTGTATTTCTTCATTATGATTTGCTCAATGTTGTGTCAGTAATTCCTATCTTGTTTGCCCTCCTGAAGGAATACATAGTGCTGCTTCAAATTGAAGATGATCGTCCCGCATGCAAGAATTTGTAGCGTTGTGGTTTCTGATTAATCCAGATTTGACTCCAGCTCCATGGTACCTAGAAAATGCACCAAGCTCCACGGTAGTTTTTGCTGTTTTAACTCAAAAACTGCCAAGAGACTCAAGCCACCTCCAGGAGAAAACTTTTTCGTGTGAAAGCAGCAAAAGGTACCGTGAAACAAATTCTAATGTAAAATGATTAAGGCTGCTTTGCTATGTGTACGGTAATCGTACATTCGATGTGCCAATTAAATTAGTATTAACAATCTAGGAAGATAACATCATCTTTTAGTAGTGTGGTTGGGTAAACCATTGGAATTGCATTTGATTTGGTAAAAAAATAGAAAATACTAGGGTTAAGATTTTTATTAATATCTTGGAGACTAAGTTGTGTAATGTGATTATACGATGTTGACAAAAACCTGTAAAGAGGATTGTTGTTTTCTCCCCCTCATGTTTTTTTGGGAGACAAGAACCTAACTTTGTTTTTTAAGTGGACATCGTACTCTCTTTAGAGTGGGCATTATAATTTCTTTTACTAAAAAAATCAAGCACTAAGAAAAAAAATTTTTTTTGCAATCAGATAAACAGGTCAAGAATAGCCCCTTACTTCTCCTCAATCTGGGTTCTCCCTGATATATTTTTGGAGGATTTTTTTGGTACATTTTAATGGCATATAACTAAGAATAATTCTTTTCCTTTTTCAATTGTTTGTTGTCATTCCCAGAATTTAAATATAAAACTTTCAAATAAAAGCTTAAGGTGATATGATGATATCTCCTAAAGAAGTGCTTTCAAGTGAACTATAAGGACAACAACAGCTAACAACTTTCAATGCTAATCACACAATATTCGAGTATGATTAAATCTTGAAATTATAGATCATGGTTTATTTTCAATATTTACGTTTCTATCTAGATAAGCACATGGTTTGCACTTTGCAGCACCTTTTTCTTTTTTGGGTAAGGTTAAATTTTATACGAAAATACTATGATTACAATGTCTAAATATGCATATAATTTACATTTTATAGTGCCGCATTATTTTTTCTGATGAGGTTAAATTTTATATGACAATATTATAGTTATAATTTTATGTACAATTATAAATTTATAATATAACATCGTTACATATTTAATTTTTTTATTAAAAAAAAAAAACCTTATTTTACCTTTTAGGTTTTTTCTTAAAAGTATTTTTGAATTGAGGGAAATGGAGGAAAGGAGAGGGGAGAGAAAAGAAAATTTTTCTTTTATTTTATTTTTTAATTTAATTAGTTATCTAAATAAGGAGAAGAGAGGAAACAAAAATAAAAGGGAATGGAATGACATAATTTTCCTCCCCTTCCTTTCCTTTCCTCCCATTTTCCTGAGCTCAACCGAAGGTAAAAGTAATATATTATCTATAAATCTTTAATTTAGAAAAAAAATCAAAAAATGATATTTAGTTTAGGACGAAAAAATGTAAAACTATGTAGTTTGAATAATCATTGATTGAAAAACATTGTAATGGTCCTTTCACTAAAAAAAAGAGGGCATTTAGTATTTTTATTTTATTTTTATTAACTTCTTATATATATTTTATATTTTATATTATATTGAATTATAAAATATAAATGATTGAATGAGAAAATGATTCACAATATTAAGAAATTTACTCTCGCTCAATAATTTATACTATGCAGATTGAATCACACAATACTTTTTTATTTGATTATTAAAATAATTTAATTTTAAAAGGAAATCCCAACAAAAAATCCTTGTGATTAAGTAGCCCCATATAGTATTGTATGGGTATTCTCATCCTAGTCGAGATGTGGAGGAAAATTCCGACTTTTTTTTTAGAAGGTCAAACTGAATATATTAAATAAAATTCATTTTTAGTTAGGCAAAGCCCCTATTTGTACCCTCTATTTATTTTTTTTCCGCGGTCAACACCTTTCAGAATTTTTTCTCCCTATTCACACCCTCTACTTTTCAAAACCAGTGAAAAACCCAATATTTTAACGGGCTATCACGGCACCGTTAACAAATGCACTACGTGGCACCCAGAAATTGATGTGGCACATGCGACGTTTTCTTATTCATTAGGTTCAGATGTGGATCT